CTTCTCTGCATAGAAAGGCATTCTTTGTCTAAGAGCTGTTAGCTTGTGTTTGAAAGATCCAGCTAATTTTATTGTCAGTGTCCAGTGTAGTGTAAATTTAGTCCCTGTAGGCTAAAAATGTATTTGTTTGGGAAGAAACCCATGAGGTCAATTAAAGATAACCTTTGTCAAAGCCTGGTATATTGCCTGTAATGGACCAATGTTTAACTCTAGACAAGAGAAAACATGAAAAAGTTTTTAGCAAAGGTGTTTAAATACCACTAAGGGAATTTTTTAAAGGAAATACAAGAATTTTTAAAACCTTGGAGATTCTGAGAGTGTTATAACTTTCTATCAATTCAAGATAAGAGCATATTCAACTACAACAATCATATCATAAACATTTGAAAAACAGAGGCTCCTAACTATACTATAAATGCTTTCTTCTGATGGTCTTCCTTCAAAGTGATTTTTGTAAATTAAATCTTACATTTAAAACACCATGAGAATCTATTATTTAGTGAAAAAATATATCTAACCATGTGTTAGAGGAAATGGTTGTTTTTAAGGCAACTATTCACCTCTGATGTATCTGTTTCACAAGTCTGGATTTCTACACAGCTAATTTCCATGTCTTTGATTGATTTTTTAAGGTTTTTCTTAAATCAGGCTTTACCTAAAGTAAAAGCAAATTAGATATTTTAAAATGTAATTGTTTTGGGTACTGTATTTCATTTGTTCAACATACATGTATTTGCCACATTTATAAGATCACTTTTGATAAGATAACAAAGATCAAATATCAATAATTTATCCCTAGTGTGTATGTATGTGTGTGGGATTATGGATATTGGAAAAATAAACATATGTGAACATGGATCTAAATATAGAATCTTCAGATATATGAATCTGAAGTAGAATCGCACAGTGATTCAGTCTACTGATTAATAGGATTATACATCTTTGCTGTAGAAACTTCATAACCTGGTTGAAGAAATAATGTGATAAATAATGCTTGTCTCAGTAAAAATGAAATATTAGAGGGGTATGTCTATAAAAATGGAGATTCTTTCAGTCTTAAAACCATATTACACTCCAGAATTTACATATTTTACATGTTATAGCGGAAACCCTTCAACTGAAAACAAGGAATTGTATGGAACACAAAATACTGTTAAAGGAAAAAAGATAAACACTATTCCTGTTTTCTTCTAGTTTACAACTACTGCACTTCCTAAAACACTGTCTAATTTTTTGTCCAAACAAATGTAAGCTGCCTAAATTTCTTTAACTAGTTCCCATACATTATGTGATGACTCCAAGAGGTACAACAAACAGCTCTGGTTATAAGAGAAAGATGCCACTGATAGTTACTGTGGTTATTTCCTTAGAAAATTTGTTGATGCTATTGAAACATTAGCCAAGTCATGAGCTTAATATTCTGTGTATTAAAACAAAGAGTCGATTCCCTTATTGATTAAGAACACAGACCCTGGAGTCAGATTGCTGGCATCAAATCCTGGCTTCATCATTTCTTCACATGATGTTCTGTTTACTCATCTGTAAAAGAGAAATGATGATGATATTTTTCTCATATGATCACTGTGAAGATTAAATAAATTAATACATACAAAGTGCTTAGAACAGTGCTTGGCACACGGTAAACACTGCCTGTGCTGGTTATTATTACTATTTTCAATAAGCAGTTTTTAATTGCACACAGACACATTGTAAATCATTTCCCAGTGAGTGTTTAGCTTGCCTGCATTGTAGGGGAAAAAAGAGAAATAAACGATGGTCATAAAGTGGTGATACAGGAACGCTCCGTTACAACAGATTTTTAGATGAAAAAATGCTTCTTCTTTGCCAACAATGTTTCATCAGCATCAGAATAGCCACTTAATCAGGTTTAAACAGACAAAATGAATTTATCTAAACCTGATGCCCTTCCAGGATTAACAAAAATAAACCTGATTATTTCAGGTTTAATAAATGAAGACTTTTCAGTTTTAACAACTTTTGCTAAGAAGCTCAGAGTACTTTACAAATATTCTAATTAACCTTTGACATATTCAGTAAAATAAGAGGCAATCACTGTTCCTATTTTTTAAATATATATTATTTAGAGCAAATTAGCAGGCTGAGGCTATAGAAGATTTAGAAATGCAAAAATATGCAGACTGTCATTCAAACAGTTTGTTTGGTCTTTTAATATTTATGATAATTTCCCATGATATTCCTATTTTTAAGAATTATTAAGATTTGTGTCTTAAAAATGGAAAACCTATTAAAAAGGACTAAATCTAAATTAACTACTCCCAGCATAGTACTTTTTGAGCCAGTAATAAACAAACATTACAGAACAGGGCATGACGGTGGACAGAACTCAGGAGGAAGGAGGAAAGAGACCCTAATTCTGTACTGGCTCTTCCACTAAGCAAATGTGACCTTCTGTGTGTCACTTAAATGTTTCTGAAGTCAGGACCTGCATAAGTAATATGAAAGGATTGGTCTAGAAAGCAGAACCTGGGGGCTGAGCGATCCTTAAGTGAAACTCTTTCAACGATGACGTTCTCCTTGTGGGTTTCCAGTGGTGGAAAACGGACTATAGCCGAACGCTCTTGAGTCATCTACAGGTTAAAGAAGTTATTCCTTAGTCACATTTGGAGTCTTGTGAACTCTGAGCTACTCAGAGTCTCAAATAGTCTATAATTCCAAATATGGAACACAATGGAACCCCGCAACAGCAAACTTTCTAAATGATGTCAAGAAACTTTAAATGAAAGCAGAAGAATGCCATTCTCTGTTCCATTATGTTTATCATTATGAGGTTGGAGCAAGAACAGAAGGAGGGGGTCATCTGTCCTCAACTTCTATAGGCCAAAAATTCAGTTTTCTAACAATTTGCAGCATTCATTTTTAATAAAATTTAAATTCGGTGGGAAAAAGTAGATGTTTCATGGAATTTTTTATTGAGGCTGACTCCTAGTTTGCATTAACATGATACCAAATAAACAATTATCTCTGGGAATAATATGAGCCCGTGAATATAAGCTATATTGTCACAGGTAAATCACATAAGATTAAAATCATTTTTGGAGAAATTTTGACAAAATGAACATCCACCTACCCCAAATCAGGATGGTACATTGAAAAGAGCATTGAATTAGCTGTCAGGAGTCCTGGGGTCCGGTATTAACTCTGATACTAACTAGTTTTGTGAATTTCATGAAGCTTCCAAACCTTCTGTACCAAAATTTCCTCCTTGGTGAAAATGGCAGTTTGAATGAGCCAATTTCTAAAGTCTCTGACAACTTTAAAATTTCATACTTCAAAGAAAATTATTTTCCCTTAAGGTAGTTCCCTGATGGAGGAATAATTTTCCCAGCTGTGCATTTACTGCCAAAAGACAGGCTGACCTCCCTACAAGTACAAGTAGCTTGTACAAGTAGCTTTTTATTATAAATTTAGCATTATCTCACTCTTAGAGGCTGAAATCATACAACAAAGGAGGCATTGACCCTGACCCTAAAAACATGCCTTTGTCGTTGAGACGAGCTCCAATTCTCTTGGGATTGAGGAGTAATTCACAGCAGCCTAATGATGACAGAATGGCTTCCATAAAACACCAGTATCTATAAGGTACTGTTTATTGAATTGTTTGTCTCAAAAGACCTTTCTCAAGGGGCTCTTCAAATGCCTAACAATCCAAAATAAAGCCATCTGTCCTCCCCTAACTCATAAAGCCTCCAGCATTAACCCAGGTCTTAAATAGAGTTAGGAATTGAGTGAGCCCCCAGGAACACTTGAGCATGAATAACTGTACTAGAGTTGATTCCATAGGTATTCCATTTATTCCTTATGGCCCCAAATCATGTTTTAGGCTTCTCTGCACTCCTGAGATGATACACGCCGTGCCTGCCAAGAAAGCTATCTAGTGTGAGTGAGCACCATATACATGTGTGGGAGCTAGATTTTGCTCAAAGTTATAATAATTCCCATAATGTCTTTGTCTTTGAAATAAATGGAGGGGAGTGTTGATGCAAATGAAGACAAATTCAGAAGAAAAAAGTGGAACAATATAGAAATTATAGAGTAAAATGTAAATTAGCTAATCATAGATCACTATTCAAAAGGATAGAAAATTTGTATCTAAGCAATATGAAAACTTAGGCAGTATATTTTAACAAAGAGGAAGATAATGAGATAGGGGAATGTATAGATGCATATATAATACATCTGATTTATTATTGAATCTATCAAAAGCCGAAGAACAAGGGAAAAGACAAAATCATAGAACACTTTGAAATGAAATATTCAGTCCTCATATCTAAAATATAATTGCAATTAAAAATTGAATGTTTGCTTATAAAGGCATATAAATACAGTATGAAGAGTTTTCTGACCTGAATTTTAATTTGAAAAGAGCATTTGTATTTTAAGTTTTCTAGAAAAGATAAGAGTGAATAGCTGTTCTTTCATAAATAAAGCCGAGGCAACACGTGATTTATCCCAGGGCTGTCCCCAGTAAAGGAAGGCTGGATCAGGTATTGAAAGATATATACCAGAAAACAGTAAAACAACACCTGCTGGAGTTAAGTGTGTGAAGGAGAATGGAATAAGTAGTAGAGTCCTGGAGTGAGCTAGTCACTCCTTGGCTCAGTGGACCACGGCGACTTGTTCTTAAGTGGTCACAATTCCTTAGGCAAATGCTATCATTGATATCAATGTTCTTTTTTCCCTAACTGAAATAAGCAAAAGGACTTTGAGCCAATGTCTTACATCAATTGGGCAAGATCTCCTTTTTCTCAGTAGCTGCCTTACTGCCTCCAAGTATTTTCCTGTAACGAATTGGGCATTTCTCAACTATCAAATTGAAGTCCCAGGATCATCTATCTTGGTTTCCTACCTGCAGAGAAAGAATCTTCCCTGTACTGTTTGAACCACTGGGATTTTGAGCATCTTTAGAACATATTTTCTCAGCACTCTTCTGCTGGTGGGTATGCTTTCTTTCCCTGCAGAAATCAAAGATATCCACCTACGAGAAGATGTGGGCTTTCATGAGCAGCAGGCAGCAGACTGCCCTTGTGAAACACAGTGATGAGGGAATCCACCGAGTGCTCACCACCGACTACGCCCTCCTAATGGAGTCCACCAGCATTGAGTATGTGACACAGAGAAACTGCAACCTCACTCAGATCGGGGGCCTCATTGACTCCAAAGGTTACGGAGTGGGAACGCCTATCGGTAAGAGAGGCAAGGCACTAGCCAAGACTGAGATGGGCAACATCAATCACGAAGTATAAAAGGGAGTGGACTCAGAGATATCTAGTCCACATTCTGAGCTAACACCTGTGCCAATCTTCCTTTATTTTATATGTGGGATGCCTGCCACAGCATGGCTTGGTGAGTGGTGTATAGGTCCACGCCCTGGATCCGAACCTGAGAACCCCGGGCCGCTGAAGCAGAGCATGTGAACTTAACCACTGCACCACTGGGCTGGCCCGAGATGCTATTTCTTTATATCCCATCATTGCTAATTTTACTCAAATGGTCCATAATTCAGAGAAGAACACTGGGAGTTGGTGCCTTTCCCTGAATCTTTTCAAAATCAAGACTTTGGGATTGATTGTAACATATTCTGCATCTTTTTAGAAAGGCAACTGTAGTTTCTTAATAGAACCATCTTTAGACTAAATTATAAAGCTGAAAACTGCGCTTTTATCATTCTATCCTCTACTCAATAACCTCACCTCCACCATCTTTTAACATCCCTCCTTTCCCACCAAATTTCTTATCTAGTAATGATGATAGAAAATAGCAATGTGTATCACTCGTTCAAAGAATATTTGTGCTTTAATATGAGACTTTTAATGGACATTTCTTCTAATGAATGGAATATAACCATAAACCTAAAATTTTTTGGGGGCGAAGCAAGGGGCTCCTTTCTGAAACACTCCTGCATTAATACAGCCCATTGAAAATTACTCTGCCATCATGTAAATGAGGCCGACCCTGTGATGAATATCACTATATTTTATATAATATGATAAAGAAAGATTTGAATGTTCCAGTTGAGTCTGCTTTTTGCTAACCTCATCTATACTCTGACATACAAGTTCCAAAGTTGAAGTCTTTCCCCCACCCAAGATGAAAAGAAATATACTCCAGGAATTTTTCTTAGTGGTTATAAACCTGTCATGCTTTTAAACCAAAAACAGTGAAGGAATAATTGGAACAGATGGCAGACCTCAGAGAGAATACATCCATTGGGAGTACAGCTGTTGGATAAATTTGTGAGATGTTTCTTCTATGATGAATTGACTCTTTAAGAAAGATCAGTTGCTATTCAAGAAGATCTGCGTGTATCCATACATATTTTTTCAAATGACTTGTAATAAATCACTTCCAACGCCATTCAGTCCATTTAAGCACAACAACAACAAAGATTAAAGCTAAAATATATTCAGATATAAAAAATTCTCCACACACTTCGGGTCTTGCTCTGACTGACTCCTTTAAGGTTCCAAACTCTTTCCCATGGTCAAATATTGGCAAAGTCAGTTCAGTCACCACACAAAATTGAAGACTTTGCTTCTCAGACATTCTCAGGACAGAAGCTCTGGAAATGTGCCTCCTGAGGAATTTAAAATAAAACTTTAAGAGAAAGAGCGGTTAAAGCTTAAACAGGTTACCAGGAGGCTAAAAATTACCTTCCTTAGAGACCTACTTTAAACAAAGATCCAATCCCCATCTGTCTGAAATGTTTTAGGCTTTGTGCCACCTGAAGGCAGAAGGAGAGCATCAGTCAACATTCATTGAGTGCCCACTGCGTATACTGCTATGATCACTGCTGCAACCGCTACTGTACAAATCATTCTTACGCTCTTCAAAGCACTTTCATGTGCATTAAAGCAAAGCTCTCCTTCTTCACTTAATTGCTCACACACTATGGGTATGTTAATGGTGCTAATTTTGACACCAGCCATTATTCTGGGGGTGCTTAAGCAAGCAGCCAATTCGGCTTTCAAGAACCATTTTCTCACCAAAAATCCATACTCTTAATTGACAAGCCACAATCTAATTCCAAAACATTTTCCTCTTCTTCTAAACTTGATTTTGAGTATTGACAATGACTTTAGGAAGTATTGGGAGTAAATTAAAAAAACAATGACAAACGCCATGATGTTAACTCTCTGCTTTTCTAAGGGAAACCATGCCACAGAACGTAAGGTAAATGTGGAAGTTGAGAGAGGAGGGGTGCAAGGCAGGGAGGAAAAAGCTTTCATAGAAATAACATGAAGAGAGAAGTAAGGAGAATTGAGTTAAATTCTTGGCTCTGCCAGGAACTATTACCTTCACTCATACTTTCACATCCTAAATTTCTTCAATTCTAAAATAAGTTGACTGAACTGTATGGTTCCTCAGATCACTTCTGGTTCTAAGATGCTACCTTTCTATATTTGCTATTTTTTTTTAATTTTTCTGTTTCTACCAAGAAGAACTTTAAAGCTTGCAAAAAGAAAGAACCAGGGTGTACTAGTTTCCTACAGAGTAAAAGAAATGTTAACAAAAATTCTTAGCATCCAAGGAGAAATTGAATACAGGAATCTTACCATCTTTTTATCTCTTCCTTTGCATTGATTAATGTAGGAATCCAGTACTGGGCAAGCTATGGCTACAAGCAGATGTTGGTACTCTTTAACCCTAACATAGTTAAAAGTTAAATGCAATTACTAGAAAATAGAGTATAATATCAGTAAAGTCCTTGCAAATTTTCCAAACCTAACTGAATTTTGTAAGACCTTTGAATTATTCAAAATTTATCTTGATAGTATCTTAGTAGGTGTATTAGTCAATATGCACTAATTACTACAAACAACATCTGCAAATTTTCAGTGGCTTATACAGTAAATGTGTATTTCTTGACTTTGTCATGGGCCAATGTAATTTGAAAGAAAGACTGCTTCATGCAGTCGTCCTGGGACCCAAGCTCTTTCTAATTGATTGTCCCACTGTTCCCAGTGACTTGAAATCCTTTCCTTCCTGAAGCATGTTTGGGGAAAGGGAGAGAGAGAATAGAAGATCACGTTGGGAGGATTTAAGAGATAGGACTGGAAATAGTCATACACTGCTTTTGCTCGAGTGGCTAGAAATCAGTCACAGCACCACTCTGAATTGCCAAGGAAACTGGGAAGTGTCTAGCTGCTCCTCTTTCAAGAATAGAAAATAGCACTGGTGATCCTCTAGCCAGGCTGTCAATATTAGACAACCAAAAGCCTAGAAAAAGCAGAATCTAAACAATAAAATTCCCTAACATGGGAAAAAGACTCATGAAAAACTTACCAGAAGTAGAGGTACGTCACAGAATTCCCAGCTCAACTTTTCCTTATTTAAAAAGAGTAGATAGTCTGGGCAAGAGTTAATCTCAAAATGTCAGTTCTCCCCTTTCCAATTATTTAGTCTTCAAAATAGAGAATTCAACTTTCATGCCCTTTGCCAGTCAATCTGTGGGTTGGGTTTCCCAACAGCCATAAAGTAGTACCCCTAAGACAATAATCCTTCTTGACATCTTCTTCAACCCTTTGGTGACCAGCATCCAAATGACCTTACTTACAGGCTCTCCATATCGGGATAAAATCACTATTGCTATTCTGCAATTACAAGAAGAGGGAAAACTGCATATGATGAAAGAGAAGTGGTGGCGGGGAAATGGCTGCCCTGAGGAAGACAGCAAAGAGGCCAGTGCTCTGGGAGTAGAAAATATTGGAGGCATCTTCATTGTTCTGGCTGCTGGACTGGTCCTTTCTGTATTTGTAGCCATTGGAGAATTCATATACAAATCACGGAAGAACAATGATATTGAACAGGTGAGTCATCTCTTTCTAGGACTGGATAGTTTTTTAGTTTGCATTATCTGTCTTAAGTTTGGGGTTTTTAAGGATGCTTGCCTTTCTTTTTATAACGGTCTATTGAATTAGATGCCCAGAAGAGCCATTTTTGAGTTACAGCAAAGAGCTATTGAATCCTTGCCAGGTGCTGCTGGCAATGCAGCCCATCATTTATTAATGAGAAGAAGGGAGCGCCTTATATACTAAATCCAATTAGCGCTATTTGGCATGACGGTGCAGAAATTCCAAACTCAGTTAATTTCTTGAACACTTATTTGCACTTGAAATAGAAACCTTCGACAGAGCAAGGAAGAAATAAATCCAAAATTGGAAAAGATATAAAAAGATCTTTCAGAGAAATGTTGTCATCACTAAAGTACTGAGCACATGTGCTAGTGCAAGACAATTTATATAAAGATATAAATGTAGTGTTTTGAAATTGGGCATTTAGCTCTATCAAAGAGTGATTTGTAAAAGGATAATTCACCAAGATTTTTGCCAGGAATCCGATAAACAATACAAAATGACAATAAAATATATTAAAGACTTTATTTTTCCAAATTGTGTTTAGGATTATAGGATGATTTCAACAGGCAATCATTTTTGCTTGTTACTTTTATTTTTGAAGGAAACCACACCAGGGCTTATACTCTTCTAAATAAGATGATTGGGATTTAAAATAATTCCCTCATAAGCATCTTAGAATAAACAACACAAAACTCATGACCATTGTAGCACATTAGGGCACCCATTCAATTTAAAGATAGTGTTAGAATTTCCAGACTATGAACTATTAATAACAGGACTATTTTAATGTGCAGTTGTCACTATCTATCTTGAAACTCTTAATAATTTTTGGACAAAGGGTTTCACACTTTCATTTTGCACTGGGCCCCACAAATTATGTAGCCAGTTCTAATTAATAATCTCCTTCTAGTCTTACTTCCTTTAGGTGGAAACTCTTTTTAAGTTCTCAGAGCTGGGAATGATTATTATAACCTGATTTCATCATGAAAATTTTCCCCAAATTACAAGACAGTTGTGAGAAAATTAAGCTCCCCTTTCCTAGACCTTGTTAGAGAAAACTACCTTTAACTAAAAGGGAGAATGGACTGATCTGCTTTGTTTTAACTTTCAATTTGCTCTTGAGGTGTCTTGTTTTATGCAACTAATTTGACAAATAAAGCTTGTATATGTGCTTTAATGTGCTTCTCATAATTGCCAGCTTCATTTGATTTGAATTGTCATTTCAACACTCATATTTTGCTTCTGATTTATTCATTTTTCTATATTTTTTTCTTATTTCTTTTGCATGCAAGGCTTTTTGTTTCTTTTATGGACTGCAGTGTAAGCAAACCCATCCAACCAACTCCACTTCTGGGACCACTTTATCTACGGATTTAGAATGTGGCAAATTAATTCGAGAGGAGAAAGGGATTCGGACACAGTCCTCAGTTCATACTGTGTAATCAGTTTTAAAAAGAAAAATGTTTCCAGTAGAAACTGTTTCTGCTAATTGGTGTTGTCAATGATATGTATCTGCTAAGCATAAATGGCCATAATTCCCTATCCCTTTAAGATAGGAAAACTCATGTATGTTGAATTCAATGCACCAGAAACGGATGTGCATTGTGTGTCAAAACAGGGGCATCTCAGGGGTGTATAGACTCCGAGAAATGTGTCTTTACAGGAATCTGTATGTCATCAAATGAATGGTTATCTTAGTTCTACCTTCATGCATTAAAAATAAGCAACTCTTTTCTCACGAAAAAGTAGATTCAGACTTTCAATAGTGCAAACCAATGAAAACAAAATGCTGACTGTGGAATTCTTTTCGTCTTTGTGAACTTTTTTCCTCCTCCTTCTTTTTCCCTGTCCCATGCGTTCTGCAGAGCCACACTCTCAAAATACCCAAAGCCCTAGCTTTTTCTTGTAACTCCATAACGGTGTCAATTTTTAATTCAAATTGATTCCACCACTTAAAATGTATTATTTACACAAAGACTCAAAGATGTCTTAGATTTTAAGGATTCAAAAACGTGATCCAGAAAATGAAACTTGAAACCTCTAGTGTCACAGATGAGGATGAGCCAAGTTGAACACCAGTCAGGAAGGCACAACACAGCCAAGAATGATCCCTGGGTAGAAATTCATTAACATCAAGTTCTCAACATTTACTTGTACAGCTTAACAATCTTCTGTAGGCTTAGATGGATAGTATGCTCAGAGTTTCAAAGGAACTGTGATATTTTTTCAAGCTATAGATTATTTCTTTCAAGCTCCAAGCAAAGTCCTAAGCTAAGAACTAATGCATAGCATCTTCTATTTTCACTCGCTCACACTCACTCTTTGCATTGATAAACATCTTTCCACGAGATGTTATTTCATTCCCTTCCCACTCACCCAGGATAGAGTGGTTGTTCTGGTAGCAATCTTTTCTGAGCGTTGCCACGTTCACACTCATTTCTCTGGATCCTTTGCCATTATCAATTCATTCCAAGTGTGCTGGGGAGAAGGGCAAGGAGGAGAAAATAAATAGAGGAGAGAATTTCCATACACATTAGTTACAGATCTCTATAGATTTATTTTCCACTTGGGTTCAAACTGCTGTAAATAATTCCCACTCTAACTCAGCTTGGTGACATAGAAAGCCAACTGCATACTTAATTGTTTGTGACGAAGGATGTCTGCTGTTCCTCTGGGTTTGTTTCCGCTTCACAGTCAGTAGGGGAATTGAAGATGCCTTTAATCTTCCCCCCGCACATGGGATCAGTTGGTCTTTGTTCTCCTTAATGGGATTACCTTTTGACGTATGAAATGATCCCCCTAAACATATTTCTCAGAAGTAGAGAATCACCATCTGTGCAATCATGTAGCATTTTCCCTTCTTTTTGCTTAGCTTTAAATGGGTTCCAACTTTTGAATCACAAGTCTTTCCAATCAACTCTATATTTCTCCAGTAAAGTCTGTTCAGGAAATTTGACTCTTGCCCTAATTGTTTCTCAGTCTTGCTTTTTTCTTTAAATAAATGTACTTTTAAGAAAACATCTATAAATGACACTAATATTTATTTACTGTTATTGAAGTGAGAGCAACACACAGTTTGCCCTAGGTCAGAGTTCCCATTATCATAATCAACAGAATCAGATGTTGGGATAAATATTATATTATTCTTAGTTTCATATTTTATTGATTCTGTATATAGAAACCACAAATTACATAAATTTATATTTTCAAGGACTATTTAATAAACCAAAAATGCTACCAAAAAAGTTCAAGGGTGATTGATGAAGTATGGACTATCAGGGTTAACGATGGCAAAACTTACCTTTCTATAGAGACTGTCCTTTAAAAGTGTAATTCAGAGGTTTGGATAAAAAAATGACCCCTTACCAAAAGTAATTATCTGTGTACTACTTTAAACTATATACTACCTAATTCTGATATTTATATACTATTTTATGGTTTTCAAAGTGTTTTCACATTTGATCCTTTCAACAATTTTATTTCAGCTTTACTAACGGAGGAATACATATCAGAGTCAGTGACCTGGAGTCCTAGACTTCAGAATCAGAAGGGAATTTTCTAAATCAGACAAACTTGGGTTTGAGTTCTAGTACGGCCACATGCTGAATGACAGTAGACAAGTGACTGATTTTCTCACAGCCTTGGTTTCTTAATACGTAATACTGAGATATAATTTCTAGGTCATAAAGTTGTGCTGAAGGACTATTTTCAAAATGAGTTCCACTGGTAAGTGTTACTCAAATAAGATTTTTATGGTTAAGTAACCATGGAGTACTATGCTGAACATTCCTTTACTGCATGACATCTCAGTGTGTTTAACATGTTACCATGCATTGAGAATTCTCAAAAAGATGGAAGAGTAGCCAGCATTTCCCAAAATTATTACGTTGCAGAATATTTTTCCCCAAAGCATTTTAACAGACCAGTGTTCTACAGGTCATATTCCAGGGAGCGCTGATGTGATAGGGTATCTCATCCAGTGACGACATACAAAACATCTCGTACCATGCCTGACACATATTTGCCTTTCAATAAACAATGATATTTATTATTTAGGGTAATTTTTTAACTTCTCTGAGCTTCGATTTCCTCACTTGTAAAATGAAGGATAATGTATTGAATTTATATATCTGCTGTGAGAATTAAATGAAGTAATATAATGACATAGAAAATGAAATCATCCATAAAAGTCCTGTTAATAAACATTGGTTAACAGATGTTAGCTCCTTATAAAGAAATTAACTATTGCTTTCTGGTCACATGGGCAGTAAGTAAAATTTATCAAACATCTAAAAACATATCTAGTTTAGAAAACAGGTTTCCCAATTTAGAGGCTCAAACTATCTTGAAGACCACTTTTCCTCACACAAGCATTAAAAATCAGTGTCAAGGTCATTGCATCCAAGAGAAGGACCCAAATTGATAATACATGAGAATCTATAGGGGAAGTCATGAACTTCATCCCCAGAAACTCTAATTCAATTAGTCTAGAATGGAGGCAGGACGATAGTAGTTTTTTAGGGCACGCAGTTGATTCTAGTGAGTAGCAGTGCTCTAAAGCAAAATCTTACCTGTATAATTGGCACTTAATAAATCATTGCTATTTATTGATTGATTCTCAAGAGGTGGGACCGCTCATTCCAAGCAACATATACAGCACATATTTAGCATTCATTATTCAATAGACCCTTTCCAGGGAGAATTTGAGAAGAAACTGTGCATTATCTTTGAGATAGAAATTTTATTATATTCAATTGATAATCTTCGTATTTCATTGTAAAATGGTGCTAGGCTGACACAAAACAGTCAAGTAGATAATTCACTGCTCTCTGTGCCCTTTTTCTCTCTTAGGGAAACTCTATTCATCAGACACCCAGGTTCCTTACGCTCCTCTTTCTCTCTCAGGCATGCTCTCAGACAACCAGCTCTTGCCATTAAGGGAAATGACCGCT